AGAGAGAGAGAGAGAGAGAGAGAGAGAGAGAGAGAGAGAGAGAGAGAGAGAGAGAGAGAACTGAGGCAATGTAGACATTGGTTACCCACCAGGCAAAAGTGTGTCCTGAGGATCTGCAACAGCTCCTGCTCCTGATGCATTATCTTCTTGTTGCTGTAATGGCTGTGCTTGGCAACGTGTAGGTGGTACTAGAAGGCAACAACACAATATCAGGCTTGCAAGACACATTAACTGAAGATCGAGAAGTCTACGTCCAACCTGCCACAGCATGGACTTTCTGAAAGAAGGTTGTGAAGTACTTCCCAACGATACATGGCCTGGCTCAGAACTACGTAGTGGTCCTGACAATTCAAATACCATCTGTGAAGAACCGGAAGCAGCTTCCATTCCTGGACAAATCATGATGCACAAAGAGTTCTTGTCTGGAACGCCTGGGATCACTCCGCCAGACTGCGTGTGACTTGAGGGGATGAGAGGGTCGGATATCAGGTCCAGGACGAGTAACCCTCGGGAGGGAAGCCCCTGTCGGATATCAGGTCCTGGACGAGTAACCCTCGGGAGGGAAGCCCTCGTCGGAAATCAGGTCCTGGACGAGTTACCCTCGGGAGGGAAGCCCCCACAATTCCACTCTGTGCTCCCAAGATTCCAATTATACCATCTCCTTGGTCTCTGCTTGCTGACCTGGTATTCACTTGTTCTTTGGACTGGAGCAGTGGCACCTGTCAATCAAGCAACCAGAAGCTCACAAAGTTATGTAACTCACAAGAAGAAAACTGACAGTTCACTTGTTTCTGTGCTAGAGGAGTGACACCTGTCTATCAAGCAACCAGGAGACATTGCTCACAAATCTTAACCCTTTCAGGGATACGGTCAGCACAGACCTGGTATTCACTTGTTCTTTGGACTGGAGCAGTGGCACATGTCAATCGAGCAACCAGGAGTTCACAAAGTCATATAACTCACAAGAAGAAAACTGACAGTTCACTTGTTTCTGTGCTAGAGCAGTGACACCTGTCTATCAAGCAACCAGGAGACATTGCTCACAAATCTTATACCACTCAAAAGAAGGAAAAAGCATCGTTTTCGTAGTAACCCTTTCAGGGATACAGTCAGCACACAAAAGGGCAGCAGAGATTATGCCAAACACGAGTTCTTTTTTTTAATAGATTCGTTGATTTCCTTTGTCATTTTCCAGATTCATTGTTGTTCATTGTCGTTTTGCAAATGCAAGAGCCCAGCATGCCCATCTGCCTAGGAGTGATGACCTCACAGCCAGTGAACTAATCTAGACCCAGAAAACGGGAATGTACACATCCATCCAGTTTCACAATGTCGGCTTTTTTTTTTCAGTAGACTTATTGTTTTTTTTTTGGGGTAGATCTGTTGCTGTTATTTGTCATTCGTGAGTGGTTAAGACTAAACTCGGGACTCTTGAAGTGTGTAAAGTGAGACTGAATCCTGCACTAGAATGGATTGATACATTGCCGTAATTTTTGCCTTCCGTGCATGTGGCGAGTAGTGGAGCGCGACCTGTAGTTCTGAAGCGCGTCACTCCGCTACTCTCCAAATTTGGAAAGTGAGACTGATGATGGGAAGATACGCTGCAACACTTTGTGGATGTGACGGGTCGTGGGGCAAGACCATGCACCGTGAGTATGCCCTAAACCCATGAATACGTGCAAACATCCAGATGTGAGGGTCTCGCTCCACTAACTCAGTTTAGGGCGTGAGTCGTGGACAAGGACAAGACAGTGAACGGGGGGAGGAGTAGCAGGAGGAGCAGGAGAGGGAGCCACAACCAGTGGGAAGAGGAGGAGGAAGAGCGGGATGAGGGGGATTGGGAGAATGAGGGCAGTGGACACAAGAAGAAAGAACTGTTCAAGAACGGGAGGGAGAGGGGCAGCATGAAGAACACATGGACAAAGACAGTTCACGGGGTAAGGAGCAGCGGCGAGGGCAGGAGAGGGAGCAGTGAGATTAGGGGTGAGGAGGAGACTACTCTGGTGTGTCTTAATGTGCATGAGGCTCTGTCTTCCCTCTTTGCTTCCACATTTCCGACCTCGGGGCCGCAGGTGGAGCTGCGGCAGGCCCAGGGGGAGAACGAGGGCAAGAAGAAAGAACTGTTCAAGAACCGGAGGGAGAGGCGCACATGAAGAGAACGCAGACAAAGATAGCTAACGGTTGAGAAGCGCGGGGGGGGGGGCAGGAGAGGGACTGGCAAGGGCAGGGGTGAGGAGGAGACTACATTGGTGTGTCTTCATGTGCATGAGGCTGTGCTCCCTCTTTGCTTCCACATTTCCAACCTCGGGGTCGCAGGCGGAGCCGCTGAGAGTCCAGGGGGAGGACAAGAAGTAGACACAAGAAGAAAGAACTGTTCAAGAACGGGAGGGAGAGGGGCAGCATGAAGAGCCCGGGAACAAGAAAGTTAACAGGTTGAGCAGCGAGGGGGGCAGGAGAGGGAGCGGCGAGGGGAGGGGTGAGGAGGAGACTACTCTGGTGTGTCTTCATGTGCATGAGGCTCTGTGTTTCCTCTTTGCTTCCACATTTCCGACCTTGGCAACGGAGCCACAGCGGGTCCACTTGTCTACATCTATATCTCTATATATATCTATATACCTCCTAAGGAGAGCAGCGGTCCTCAGCTGACGCCCCACGCTGGGCCCAGCAGAAACTGCTGGCGGGTGTTTTGTTTTTCACCACGTCGCCTCCGGAACGTTTGAATACAAATGCATAACGTGTCGGGGCACTTTTGTCAGTTTTAGCTTTTTTTTGTGGTCATTTACTGACGCCGTTTCAAGGATTCAGCCTCATTTTGCACATTTGGAGAGTAGAGGAGCCATGTCCAGTGTTCTGCTACAATGTGGAAATACTTTCACCTCGCTCGATTACTCTCAACATCGACAAAGTGCTAGAAGTATGGTGGTGTACCTTTCCATGTCCTAGCAGAAGAATCATTCTCATTGTAGTAGTTTTTTTTTTTTTTTTTCCTTGTCTTGGTCCCCACCACGTCCGCAGCAGGCATGCGCTTGTTTAAATAATGATAAAATGAGATACACTCGGAAAATCGGACTTACAAAACAACACTATCAGTGGGAAGGGTTCTTCTAACACCAGGCAGTAGATAGTATTTCTTCTTTGGTTTAGGGTTCTTCTAGCAGTTGAGGAAGCAATTTGCTCCATTATTTCAGTTTGCGTTCACAAGTAGCTGAGGTAATTTTAGAGATGGGAATACGTCAGCATGGCATGCCGTACTGCTGATCTATTCTTTTGATGCTCGGATAGCTCGACTTTCTTGGTCAGCAAGGCACCTGTGAACTTCACCTTTAAACCACCCGTTCACACTAAGCAGTGCTCTTTACGAGGTGAAAGCACTTGGCTTCGGGCCTGGGACGGTAGTGAAAGCAGCACGTCACTTTGGAGAGGCACAATTGCAGGCTCAAGAGCCTTGGGAGGTAGCTTCGTCAACTATGGCTAGTGCGAACTGGTGGTTTAAGTTGATGCAGAAAGGCAAGCGTTAGGACAGCCTGAATCCTAGCAGACAGCTCGGGACACCAAAACAAGATTCCCTGTCTCTGTACACACCTGGCACAGTTATAGACTGCATTCTCATAGCCACTCCTAACAAGCAGACCTGTTAGAGACCTGGACTGTAAAGGGGCCTGGGGGGACCTGCACCTCCAGTCTTGCGTCCCTTCAGCAGACCTCCGGTCTTGCGTCCCTACAGCAGCACGGGGTGCAGACAAAGATGTCCCAATCTCTCCAAACTACAATGTATGCCCCCATTCAGCCCTGGAAGACTCCCGCCACCATCATACCGCCACTCATGATGGTGTTTCATTGCGAGAGGCTTCTGGGAGAAATGGATAAGCTCTGGTCTGGGGCATATGCAGGTAGACTCGACTGTTGGTCCAAGGAAACTCATGCTTCCCAGTAGGCCAAGTACAGACATGGCAGATGAACATGCTCTTTACATTGCCAACAGATTTCCCTGAGAAAGTTTTGGTACCCGTGGAAAGCTAGCAGAGACAGGAAGTGTCCTTCAGGACAACCATTAAAATTGGAACATACAGAGACCTGCACAAATGAAACACATAAATTGAGAAATGAAGAAGAAGAGACCGGACATTCCTCAACATACCTACACCAGTCGCAGTCATCTGTGCCTGCACAGATCTAGCAGCTGAATGGTTTCTACACACGAGGGCGGGAACTGAGGAAGCAGCACAACATTTACTCGCTACCTGGAAGCCCTCTTATGGCCGGCCAAACATCCAAGAAAGTAACCAAATGGTCTACTTGAAGTTGCTGAGGGACACTGGGACTCACACATCACAGAGCTAATCCAAGGTTATCTGGCAGTTGAAATGACTGAAAGGGGCCGGACTCCGGAGTCTCTTTTCTGTCACAAGTTCTGTGGTGCTCTGTCTTTCCTTTCTGGGCTTTCCCCATGGAGGTGAGATTATGTGTTCTGTTCCTAATAATTTCCTATTCAACCAAAGCGGGGGAATGGTGGTCTAAGTAAGATCTTATTGTATTCATGGGACGCTGGACCCTATTACCTTCGGGTGAAGCTCCCCACCAAAGGAACGGAGTCGTGAATCTGGAAGGCCTCAATCCCGCTGTCAAAATGCACTTATCACCAACAAGATAGCAGGTTTGCATGTTGACGTTTCACTTATTCAAGCTGTCTTAGGGGGGTGAAGGTTGGTCTGTTACCTGCATGGATAATACTATCCGGTTAGAATAACCCAGAGTGGCTCCCCTTGATGATAGAGGTTGGGGCAGTGGATGGTGGTCATCAACCCGCAGTGGACTAAAACTGGAGTTACTCTGGGCGATGCTAATAGAATCCCTAGACATCCGGTTGATGATAGAGGTATGGGGAGCGGATGGTGGCCATAAGCCTACTGAGGACGGAAACTGGAAATGCTCTAGGTCGAGTAACCTCCGCAAGAATTCAAAGAATAACCAAACGGATCTGATGATGATAAGGCTACAATCTCTCTAAAAACCCAGGAAAAGCTAGGGTTCGCCTATGGGACTTGTAGTGGCATGCTTACCCCTAGCGCTCAAAGTGCCCGGTACAACATAGCTCGTTCGATAGTGCTTCAATCAGGGCTGGGGAGGGAGGTGAGAACCTGCTTAGCCCTGATGCCTATAACCATAGCTCGTTCGATAGTGCTTCAATCAGGGCTGGGGAGGGAGGTGAGAACCTGCTTAGCCCTGATGCCTATAACCACTGTCCGGTCAAAGATCACAGGAATGGGTGATGATCCTCGGTATACTCAGGCAGCTTAGCCCTGATGCCTATAACCA